AACTCCCAGTATCCCTTGCACATTAAAAATGCCATTTCAATAGTTCCGGTGGTTTTTTTTAAAATCTAAACTCAGATTCATACATCAAGAAAACTCTGCAAAATATTTGAGCCCAGTCCTTAATGGTTTTGAGCACTTCTCTTAAGTACAGTGGATCTGAGAAGCTTTCCTACCTGACTAGCAGCGTTCAACCCCTCATACCTTGATCATGAACAATTCTGTACAAACTGTGTCTCAACGAGAAATAAAGCTGTGTTGTCAGCTAATATGACTAATATAATCCTGGGCCTGATCCTTGACCTGCACTATATGTTGAACTTACTGGGAGTTCTGTATCTGGTTCGCTTACAGCAAAAAGCTCATTATAGGCCCAGTGCTGAGAATTTGCTTTTGATCTCAGTGACTTCATCATAACTCCCAGTGCTCAGCAATGTCAGGGTCAGGCCTGAAATGTATGCAACTATGATGAAAAAACATCCTGTAGTACAGTATGCCCATTCATCCATTTGTTCTAGACTCATCTTCTGCCTGGTGTTTGCACCTATCATACTTTGCTTAATGTTACTGAGGAAAAGAACATTTGAGCTGATTTTTAAAAATCAAAGGTCTTCCAGGCTTCATCAGTACAAAGTAAAGAGCTCAAGGAATTACTATAGCTCACCTGTTATTGCAAGGGAAGATGGATTATAAATTGGCTTGAACTAATTTTGGAGTATAAAAGAAAATGGTATGTATAACACTATGTTAGACAACACTTCTAATTATACACAGTTTAACGGAATTAACCAACACTATGTGTTTCACGGGAGTTAGAGTAAATGTCACAACTTTTGAAACAAAAAGGAATACTGTTGTGTCTTTTACTCTTTAAGTAACAAACAATATGAAGGAACCACAGGGGAACAGTGGGACGCAAATAGCCATATTTAGTCAATATACACAGTGTGAAACCTAGCAACTTGCTACCACAGACAAAGAACTAAGTGAGGACCACCAGAGGACTCTCAAACTATTTAAAGAAATACTACCCCATTCCTACACACTACAAATACTTGATTTAAAAAAAAAAAACACTTTAGTAGATACTTATTAATATCTTTGTATCAACAGAAAGTTTCTGGCTAAAGTTAAATCATGACATTTTTAATTTTAACTGTAAACAGCTCTACAGGTTTTATATAATAATGAATATAATTCATATACTTAAAAATAATCTTTAAGCTAACACTTTTTAAAAATGTTAAGTCTGCAGACAAAGCAAACAAAGCACAAAGTCAGAAGAGGTCTTAACTCACTCTGATATGCCTTAGTATAGGAAACAGTACTGTGAATATCTATAGCTTCCGTCTTATTCCAATTTTAAAAAAGTGGTCCATTTTATCCCCCTCCTGATGATCGCCTTTACTGGTAACTCAATAGTAGCTAAACATTAAATTCATACAGAGCCCGGATGTTTCTAGGGACCTACCCAAATGAGCCGCTACTTTCCTCTACAGAAGCTTCTCCCCCCACCCCTCCACACTTACTTCTTATTGGGGGAGTTGCTACGATGAGTCTGCAGAATTTACTCAGCAGTTTTGCACAAGGTCCTTACTCCTGCTAACAGCAGGTCAACAGAAGAACTTTCTATCTCCATGCAGCTCTTGTTATCCTCTTAACAGAGGCATTTAAAGGACAGTTTTCACAACAAAACCCGCTTTAAAAGCACACACTCTTCTTTTAGACAGACTAAAGATGTTTACAAACCCTGCCTTCAATCTATGATCTGAGGCAAGGGCTGATGGGTCTGGTCTGATAATATTAGAGTCCCCAGAGCAACATCAGGGGTCATACAAACAAAACTGAGCTGTTTGGCTGGGGCTCTGCCTGTAGATAAGCAATAAATAGAGTCTCTCACAAAAAATCAGCTTAGAACAAGGGGATAGGAAGCTTGGAAGAGGACAGAGAGACATAGGACTAGACTCACAGAAGGTAGGTAGGACAACTAAGTATCTTACAATCCTGTTATCCAGCTAGCAGCTGTGGCTGCCTTATATACACTCCACTGGGAAACCAGTCAACCAGGGCTGCCCCAGAAGGGGCTATGGCCAGAGCAGCTGGAGAACGATTTGATTGCAAACTAGAGCTGAGGCAGCTCTTTCCCAGCTCCTCCCCAATGGTTGCAGGTGCTTAGGGTGCTAGTTTCATCCCTTTCACCAGCAAGTTTGACTCAACTCCCTATTGTTTAAAAATGTATGAAGTCTATTTTGCGGTGAGAACTGCCCTTGATGATATCATTGTGGATCAGGGCTATAGGTGAAATTCACCTCCACTCCATAAAGCTTGAGTAAAAGGGCTTTGTGTGGAGAACAGCATGCAGGGTGGGGAATGGAATTATCCTCAGTCCCTAGACAATGGGCTGGAAGGCAATCAGGGGGTGACTATTGGTGAAATAATTGCTGTTGACCTTATGGGAGGATTTGCATGTATGTATTGTGACCCCTTGTACAATCCTCACTCAGCACTATGAACTGGCTCAGGTTCCTGTGTGCTTTCCAGAGGCCACAGCATGTGGCTGATCTGGCTGTGCTCTTCACTGCTCTGTGCATAGCTACCAGGAAGCTTCCAAACATGTAGAGGACCTTGCTTGGGCCCAGCAAAATAGCATGATTTTTACCCTTTATAAGCATCTTATATTCATCCTTGCGTGTTTTTAAGTTCAAGCGGCTTGATCATGGAAGATGCAGAGAATGCACTGGAAGACAATGAATATCCTTAAGTTACAATTCTTCCAGCATGCTTTCTGCAGCTCACAGCATTGGGCCCCTAACCGAATATTGTGTTAATGAATAGGTGGAACTATATTTACAATCATGGAATCATGGTCTAATACAGTGACACTCAGACCTCAGTGGTTCAGGAGCTCAATTAGCCGATCAACATTACCCGAAAGAGCCACAGTAGTGTGACTTCATTGTTTCATTTACTATATATATATATATCTATATAGATATATAGATATAATAAAAGCATCCTGATTGGTTGTTAATTATATTGCATTGTTTTAATATCATGTGTTGCAAAGAGCCACAGGAGACACATTAAAGAGCCATTTGCAACTCCTGAGCCTCAGTGCGAGTGTCACTGATCTGATACATTAAACTGGTAGGATTTACAGGGCAATTGTCTTTCACCCTATGCTTCACATTTAGTGCTAGGGCCTGCTTCACCACTGCATCACTCTAGTGTATACTGATGTAACGCCATGATTTCAGTTGAAATTACATCAGCATATAACTGGAGTAACACAGTGGTGAATCAGGACTTGTGTCTCCCAAGACACACAGATTCCATGATGGGGGTGATTTCTATGAATATCAATAGAACAGATTATTTACATACATGTACACACACACTAGACCCAGGCTTGATTAACGTATGGTTACAAGTTTGCAAAGGGTTTCCAATACCAGAAAGTCTTTCCAAAGACTGAGACTGTGGTGGCACAAAATAGTTTTCCACTCCCCCACATCCTGAGTTAATTTTTTATTATAATCAGTAGTCCAGGGTATAAATGTATAATCCATACCCCCACCCCCAATCCAAAGCAGAACTTGCACTGAAGTCAATGACAGGTTTGTGCAGAGATCCAGGGTAGAATTCTGGCTTTATGTAGTAACTAAATTTTAATGACTAAAGGTTCACCTTTACATCGCCGCTACTTCTATCCTTTGTTTCTCTTTCTTCACCATCCTTCTTTGTTTCTCTCCTTCTTCCCTGTCTCCTCCATTCTTCCTTCTGCATTTCCTTCCCTGCAGCAACTCCCAATTCTCAACCCTTTGTTTTTCATTTCCATTCCTACCCCCATTCCATCCACTAAAATGATCAGTGATTAAATAGTTAATATTGACACTTATGTGTCTTCCCTGGGCTTTGGAGACAACACTCCAATAAGATAACTAAGGAATGGGGGAGCTCATACTCTGAGCCATTGTCTGCAGCTGTTTGCAGACCCAGAAAGATGTTGCTGTACTGATTTATACTCTCTTTGTGTGAAATATTTTCTTCACAATCACAAGGGCTAGAACTTACTTTTTATTTTTAACAACAGCTTAGTTTCTGGATCATGTGACTACTTCTGTTGGGCCAAATAAATGCACCAAGTGGGCAAGATCCGGCCCACAGGCGATGTTTGACATCACTGCTTTAAGCAACAGTCCTGCAATCTGAACCATTTCATCAAGGAAATCTCATATATACATATCTACAAAGCTAAACACATATATTGTTGCAGTGTATACTCTTTGTCTGGCTTTTACACTAATTCTTTAGTTCTCCCATCTGTTTTGGTTTTTTATATAACAAAGAAAGAACTATATTTTCATAGTGGATTTTGTTGTGGTCTTGGGGGAAAAAGCACAAAAGCAGGCTCCATAGAAATAAGGAATAACCTGTGATTGGATATAAAGAGAGTATCTACTCTAACTATTGGCTAGATTGTGTCCCTAGCACACAGCTCAGTCCATTGCAGCCCAGAATCAGCCCAGGGAAGCATGTGTAATGCAGGCAGCCACAGTTCCCTCTCTGCTTCCCCCTTGCTGCTGGTGGGTGGTAGCTTGGTGCTGAGAACTAAGATTCCAGGTGAGGGAAGAGTAGGCAGCCATGCAGTACCCCTTGTCTCTCCATTCCTGGACCCAATGTCTAGATAGCCACACAGAGGTGAAGGGTTGCAGGGATTTTACTTCCCCTTATACCATGCGTGGACACACTATATATTTAATAATATAAAAAACCCAGCATGCCGTGGTGTAAGTGCCTACTTGTAAGCAACAATTAGCTGGCCAAAAAAACCAACAACCCTGTCATCCGTTTGTCGAGACAAAGCGAACCTATATCTCAAGTTGCCTATTAAAATAGATTCTCAAGTAAATGACATGGCAGGTGCTGAATGAAGGTAATGCACAAAAGAAGTATAACCATACTATTTTTATTATTTCTTTATTTATTGTTAAAAGGCTTACCATCTTGCTGGCTCTGAAGATTCTGAGGACTTTGCATTCTTTCTTCAAGATTAGAACTGAGATCAGAGTTCACAGCCGACATCCTGGTGGAGTCACTCATATCAAACTCATCACTTTCTATGGAACTTTCATCCTGCAAATTTAAAATTTCATGTTTCATTTGCATTAGGAAAAGTCAAGATAACTTTCAAATATGATGTTCATGCTACACCTCTCTCGCTAATTCATACTAATGACTAGGGCACCCTTGGTGAATTAATGAGTAAGGAAACAAACATAAGAAGATCAAGGATAATGCATCACAAAATGTACTATGATCATTTATTTGACAAGTGCAGTTCAGGTTTAATTAATTATGATAATACAAATATTAGTAAGTGTTCACTAGAATATTTCGTACAAGCAAAGTGTTGTTAGTCTGAAAACTCAAGACAGCTTTTGGCTATTAAATCTCGGTGGAACAGGACATTTCTCCATTTTTTGTGCTTGAATTGTTCACCTTACCTGACTGAGAGGTGCCATTGACAATATGCAACTTTATAGTGAAATTCTGGCCTCATTGAAGTCAAAACTGGCGTCTTCTTACTCCCCCCAGCCCAGTCTTGCTCACATTGAAATAAAAGGCAAAACCAGCTAATACAATTGTGGGAGAGTGAGACGGGTTTTATTCTGGCTCACACATCTTCAATATAATTCTTAAAAAAGAGTTACTTTCTCGTAACTGTTGTTCTTCAAGATGTATTGTTCATGTCCATTCCAACCAGGTGTTTGCATGCCGTGTGCACGCCAGCTGGAAGATTTTTCCCTTAGCAGCATCCGTAGGTCGACCTGGGCACCCCCTGGAGTGGAGCCTTCATGGCACCCAATATAGGGCCCTGCCAACCCTCCACCTCCTCAGTTCCTTCTTGCCAGCTATTCCAACAGAGGGTTAGGAGGGTGCGTATTGGAATGGACATGAACAACACATCTCAAAGAACAGTTACGAGAAAGTGAGTAACCGTTTTTTCTTCTTCGAGTGATTGTTCATGTCCATTCCAACAAAGTGACTCACAAGCCAAAGCTCATGAGGTGTGGTTGGAGTCATGCACTGATTGGAGCACACTGCGTCCAAAGGCCGCATCATCTCTGGCCAGTTGTGTAATTGCATAGTGCGTCGTGAATGTATGTATCGAGACCACGTAACCGCCTTGCAGATTTCCTGGGTGGGGACCTGCGCCAGGAACACCGCTGAGGAGGCCTGCTCCCTGGTAGAGTGGTTGGTAATCAGCGGGGCGGGCACCCTCGCCAGGACGTAACACTCCCGAATGCAGGATGTGATCCACGATGAGATGTATTGAGAAGAGACAGAGAGACCTTTCATTCTGTCCCCCATGGCCATGAAGAGTTGGACGGACTTCCGGAACAACTTAGTCCTCTCTATGTAAAAGGCTAGGGCCCTACGTACATCCAGTGAGTGCAGCCTGCGCTCCCTATCGGAGGAGTGTGGCTTGGGGTAAAACACTGGGAGGAAGATGTCCTGGCCCATGTGAAACTGGGAGACAACTTTAGGGAGAAAGGCCGGGTGAGGTCTGAGTTGGACCTTGTCCTTATGAAAAACTGTGTAAGGGAGCTTGGACGTGAGGGCTCTGAGCTCCAATACCCGGCTAGCCAAGGTAATTGCCACAAGGAATGCGACCTTGTATGAGAGAGAGAGAGAGAGAGCAGGGAGCACGTCGCCAGTGGTTCAAATGGAGGGCCTGTAAATCTGGAGAGGACTAGATTAAGGTCCCAGGCCGGGACAGGCTGACGCATCTTGGGGAAGAGCCTGTCCAGGCCCTTGAGGAAACAACTGACTAAAGGGTGTGCGAAGACCAAGAAGCCATCAGTGCCCGGATGGAAGGCAGAGATGGTGGCTAAGTGGACCCTTATTGATGACAGGGACAGGTCTTGTTGTTTTAGGTGAAGGAGGTAGTCCAGTATGAATGGTATGGGGGCGAGCAACGGCGGCTGACTGCGTTGCTCTGCCCAGATGGAGAACCTCTTCCCCTTGGCAAGGTACGTTGCCCTGGTGGAGGGATTCCTACAACTGAGGAGGACTTGTCTGATTTGGTCCAAGCAGGACAGCTCCATGGTGTTTAGCCATGGAGCATCTAGGCTGTGAGGTGGAGCAACTCTACATTCGGGTGTCGGAGTCGGCCATGGTCCTGCGTGATCAGATCCGGGATCAGCAGTGAAGTGAGAGGTGCCGGTTACGGACATTTTCAGGAGCGACATGAACCAGTGCTGGCGCGGCCACGCTGGTGCTATCAGTATGACTCGGGCCCCGTCCCTGCGGATCTTGAGGAGCACCTTGTGGACCAGTGGAATTGGTGGAAAAGCATAGAGCAGGCGGCCTCACCACGGGAGGAGGAAGGCATCCATGATGGACCCCGGGCTGTGACTCATGAGGGAGCAAAATAGCTGACATTTCCTGTTGCTGCAAGTGGAAAACAGGTCTATCTGGGGAGAGCCCCAGAGACGGAAGATTGAGCTCACCACATCTGGCCGGAGGGACCACTCGTGACCGCGGAAGGACTGGCTGAGACTGTCCGCCATCTTGTTCTGCACACCTGGGAGGTATGATGCCTGCAGGTGGATCGAGTGCTCTACGCAGAAGTCTCACAGTGTAAGAGCTTCCCGGAACAGGGGAGAGGAGTGTGCACCCCCCTGTTTGTTGATATAGAACATTGCCGAGGTGTTGTCCATGAGGACTGATATGCACCTGCCTGGTATGTGGGTTTTGAAAGCGTGGCATGCCAGGCGCACCACTCTCAACTCTCTGACACTGATGTGCAGAGCGAGGTCCGCCTGAGACCAGAGGCCTTGAGTCCTGAGGTCCCCTAGATGAGCTCCCCAGCCCAGATCCAAGGTGTCTGTCACCAATGAGAGAGAGGGCTGAGGGCTGGCAAAGGGCACGCCTGCACAAATCACCCACGTGTCGAGCCACCCTAAGAGGGAGTCCAACACCGGGCAGGGCAGGGTTATGATGCTTTCCAGAGTGTCTCAGGCTGGCCGATACAACGACACCAGCCAAGACTGGAGTGGACGCAGTCTGAGTCTGGCGTGCTGTACCACATAAGTGCACGCAGCCATGTGTCCCAGCAGCTTTACGCGGTTCCTTGCTGTGGTCATAGGGAACTGTCTGAGGCCCCGTATGATGTCCCCTAGTGAGCAAAACCTGGTTTCCGGGAGGTACACCCTGGCTTGAGTTGAGTTTAGGACTGCGCCTATAAACTCTATCCTCTGCACCGGGGACAGAGCAGATTTGGCCTCGTTTAGGAGATCTAATTCAAGGAAGGTCCTTCTTATGAATTCAACCTGACCCTCCACGTGGGCTCTTGAGCATCCCTTGATCAGCCAGTCATCAAGGTAAGGAAAAAACCTGAATCTGGCGCTTGCACAGGAATGCCACGATGACTGCCATGCATTTTGTGAATACTCAGGGAGCTGTCGACAGTCCGAATGGGAGGATGGCAAACTGATAGTGGCCGCTGCTCACCACAAATCTGAGGTAGCGTCTGTGATGTGGGACTATTGCGATGTGAAAATACGTGTCCTTCAAGTCGAGGGCAGCATACCAGTCCCCTGGATCCAGCGAGGGGATAATGGAGGTTAGTGAGACCACGTGGAACTTGAGTTTCCTTACAAACTTGTTGAGCTGCCGCAGGTCCAAGATAGGCCTGAGGCCCCCTTTGGCCTTCGGTATGTCTGTCCCAACATGCTCGTGGACACCACAGACCCCTTAGGCTTCGAGAGGGGTGATCGACCCCTCACCGGCCTCTTCTTCTTTACCGGCACCAGGGATGGAGAGCGGTGCTGTGCTGAGGCCGACTTCTTATGGCCCGAGCCATGACGATGCTGGGGGGCCTTAGGGTCCTTAGTTGGGGCCGTTTCGCGCGCCGTTGGTGCCGGAGCGCTGCGCACCAATGAGGACGTGCTCAGTGCTGGTTCAGTGGGTCCCGGGTCGGCGTGTGGCCTCAATGCGGCCTCCATCAACAGAATTTTTAGTCTCTGTTCCCAGTCTTTAAGGGTTCTGGGGCGGAAACCCTTGCAGATGCAGCACTTCTTCTTCTTGTGGCTCTCACCAAGGCACCGCAAGCAGGAAGAGGATCACTCTTGGGCATAAACTTGCCACAGGCCTCGCAGAGCTTAAACCCTGGAGACCCGAGCATACCCCAGGAGGGAAAACGTTGTCGGGGGGAGAGCCCCCCAAAACAATTAACTATAACTATAAGGAACAACTGTTAACTAACTGAGAAAACTATATACACGATATGCTATCAGACACTGCTAAAGCGCTTACTATACAGAGCGAGCAAAGTTCCAGCTAGCCGTTACTAGCAGTAAGAAGGAACTGAGGGGGTGTAGGGTCAGCAGGGTCCTATAATGGGCGCCATGAAGGCACCACTCCAGGGGGTGCCCAGACCAACCCTACAGACGCTGCTAAAGGAAAAATCTTCCAGCTGGCATGCACGCAGCGCGCGCACACCTGGTTGGAATGGACATGAACAATCACTCGAAGAAGAACTACTAATTCTAATTACAGAATCTTTATTATTGATGATGATGTGTGAGCTCAGGTTAGTAGTCCCACTGAAGTCAACGGCTCGACACACGTGCTTAAAGATAAGCATGTTCATAAGTGTTTGCAGGGTTTGGAGTTTGAGCTGGAAGTCAATGAGAAATGAACATGGAAAGCCCCCATGACATTTCTGCAGTCAATTTTAAGAGTATAACAACATTTCCAAAGGCTTGTCTGTTAACAACAAGAGAGTTTTAGAGAAAACACAATAAGGCGGCTGAAGCAGTATCCACTGAAGAAGAGTTTTAAATGCTTTATGAAGAATATGAGGCATATTCATTGCTCTTTCCTAAAGACTGGACTTTAACTAGCAAGCAATGGACTACATTTTAATTTTTTGTTTGTTAGTAACCATGAATGATTTAGAAAAGTTCAGCTAATACTAGAATTAGATGTTAATATGTTAATGAACTGGTCTGGATAGAGATTAATATCATTATTATTTTCTTTTCACCTGGCCCCCGAATGAACTCCTCTCTCTTTTGTCTGAATGACTTTGTGGACAATATTGATATTTCTTTAGTAGCTGGGGA